TGATTCTATGAAACATGAAAATAAAGGGCAACGTTGAAGGGGAAAATTTGCACCTATAGGCAGCCTGATGCATTGGTTAGTAATAAAAGAGGAATACTCCTGCCATGTACCCTCGCAGTTTGCCTTGAGATTAGTGGTAGGTGTATTAGCCGTGGATCTTTTTATAAGTAACCTGTGGGGCCGGCCCCATGGCTTAGCGGTTAAGTGCACGTGCTCTGATGCTGGCGGCCCGGGTTCGGATCCCGGGCGTGCACCGACGCACTGCTTCTCCGGCCATGCTGAGGCCATGTCCCACATACAGCAGCTAGAAGGATGTGCAACTGTGACATGCAACTATCTACTGGGGGTTTGGGGGGAAAAATAAATAAATAAAATTATAAAAAAAAATAAATAAATAAGTACCCTGTGGCTGAGCCTTCTCCTTCTCCCAGGTACATCTTCTTTAAGTCCTAGTCTCTTTTCCAGAGGAAAGGCAGTAGGGAAACTTCAAACATTAGTCCTGTAGCTATTCAGCCTTTCAAAACTTCTTTCCTCACTTACTTCCACACCCTTCTTGACAAAAGTTCATAGCCCCTAACGAGGAAGTATATACTGAAGGCAACTTGGGAGTGCTAGACTTTTTTTGTGTGTGTATGAGGAAGATTAGCCCTGAGCTAATATCTGCTGCCAGTCCTCTTTTTGCTGAGGAAGATTGGCCCTGGGCTAACATCCGTGCCCATCTTCCTCTAGTTGATATGTGGGACGCCTGCCACAGCATGGCTTGATAAGTGGTGCATAGGTCCACACCTGGGATCTGAACCCGCCAACCCTGGGCCCCCAGTGCATAGTCCTTTGTGTCGTGCTTTTCTCACTTAGCATAATGCTTTTAAGGTTCATCTGTGTTGTGGTGTTTATCAGTAGTTCATTTCCATTTACAGCTGAATGATATTCCACTATATGTAAGTACCATATTTTGTTTATCCATTCACCAGTTGATGAACACTGGGTTGTTTCCAATTTTTAGCTATTTGAATAATGTGGCTGTGAACATTCATATATTAGTCTTTGTATAGATAGGCATTTTCATTTATCTCAGGTAGATACCTAGGAATGAAATTGCTGGGTCATGTAGTAAGTCTGTGTTTAACATTTTAAGAAACTGTCAAGGTCTAGAAATAAACTCTTATATTTTTCAATAGGGGTGCCAAGATAAATCACTGGGGGAAGAATACTCTTTTCAACAAATGGTGCTGGGAAAACTGGATATCTATATACAAAAGAATGAAGTTGGCTCCCCCACTTACCACCGTATAAAAAATTAACTCAAAATGAATCACAGACCTAAATGTAAGAGGTAAAAATATAAAACTCTAGAAGAAAACATAGGCATAAATCTTTGTGACTTTGGAGTAGTCAGTGCTTTCTTAGATATGACACCAAACGTACAAGTGACAAAAGGAAAGTAGATAAACTGGACTTCATCAAAAATAAAAACTTTTGTGTTCCAAGGACATCATCAACAAAGTGAATCTTCCATCTCAATAATTTTTAAAAAGCTCATTTAAAAAGTGGGTAAATTATTTGAATAGACATTTCTTTAAAAAATACATACAAATGACCAATTAGCACATGAAAAGATGCATAATATTATTAGTCATTAGGGAAATGCAAATCAAAACCACAATGAGATACCACTTCACACCCACATCTAGAATGGCTAAAATAAAAAAGACAGATAATAATAGGTGTTGGTAAAGATGTAGAGAAATTGAAGCCCTCATGCATTGCTGCTGGGATTATAAAATGGTGGAGCCACTTTGAAAAACAGTGGCAGTTCCTCAGCATGTTCAACATAGAGTTGCTGTATGACCCAGCAATTCTACTGCTGTGCATATACCCAATAGGATTGAAAATATATATCCACACAAAAACCTATACTTGAATATTCACAGTAGCATTATTTACAATAACCAAAAATAGAAACAACCAAATGTCAACAGATGAATGGATAAACAAAGTGTGGTATATTCATATAATGGAATATTATTTGGCCATAAAAAGGAATGAAGTTCTGATACATGCTACAACACGGATAAATCTTGGAAACATTGTGCTAAATGAAAGAAGCCAGTCACAAAAGGCCATGTATTGTATGATTACATTGAAATGAAATATCTAGAATAGGCAAATCTATAGTAACAGAAAACAGATTAGTGATTGCTAGGGGCTAGGAGAAAGTGGGAAAAGGAAATGGGTATAGGATTTTTTTTTTTTTTTTTTTGAGTAATGAAAATGTTCTGAAGTTAGACAGTGGTGATGGTTATATAACTGTGAATATACTAAAAACCACTGGCTTCTACACATTAAAAGGGTGAATTTATACCTCAAGTAAGCTGTTATTAAAAAAAGAAAAGGAAATCATCAAACTATTTTCCAAGGTAGCTGTACCATTTTACATTTCCTCTAGGATGAAAGAGCTTTCAGTTTCTCCACATCCTCACAAACACCTGGTATTGTAAGTCTTTTTGATTATTGCCATTTTAGTGGTTATGTAGTGGCATCTTGTAGAGATTTTAATTTGCATTTCCCTAATGACTAATGATGATGAGCTTCTTTTCATGTGCATATCACCCATTTGTATATTTTCTTTGGTGAAAATGTCTATTGAAATCTTTTGCCCATTTTAAAATAGAGTTATCTTATAATTGTGGTGTAAGAGATTTCCTTTTTACAAGTCTCAACTTTTTATTATTAGATTCAACGAAGAATAACATTTTAATAAATATAATCAGAACAAACAGAAGGTAGGGACGCAGAAAATAAAAACTGTACACACTGCTCATTGCAAGTATAAACAAACCTAAACAAAAAGTTAGAGTGAAATAGCTGTTTCCCCATGTTAAATGCCTAAACACAGTTTTGAACGAACACTATATGTACCAATATTCGTTTTGTACCAAATATTTCATAGAAATATGTACCAATATTTAAGTTATGTGTAAATATTGTTTCTAAGGTGATAAATGAACTTGTTTCTCTCGTTAAAACTTATCTAATATAGATGGTAATTATAATTGTGTTGTAAGAGACTTCAATCTCTTCTGCATACAGATCCTTTATTAGATTTATGATTTGCAAATATTTTCTCCCTGTCTGTGGCTTCTCTTTTCATTTCTTTTTTTTGTTTTTGTGAGGAAGATCAGCCCTGAGCTAACATCCATGCCAATCCTCCTCTTTTTGCTGAGGAGGACCGGCCCTGAGCTAATATCTATTGCCAATTCTCCTCCTTTTTTTTTTTACCCTTTTTCTCCCCAAAGCCCTAGTAGATAGCTGTATGTCGTAGTTGCACATCCTGCTAGCTGCTGTATGTGGGACCCCGTCTCAGCATGGCCGGACAGACGGTGCGTCGGTGCGCGCCTGGATCCGAACCCTGGGCTGCCAGTAGCGGAGCGCGTGCGCTTAACCTCTAAGCCACGGGACCAGCCCCCCACTTTTCATTTTCTTAATGGTATCTTTGAAAAGCAAAAGTTTTAAATTTTGATACTGTCTGGTTTATGAATTTTCTTCTTTTGTGGATTGTGCTTTTGGTGACATGTCTAAGAAATCGTTGCGTGATCCTCCAAGGTCACAGAGGTTTTTCTCCTACAAGTGTCTTTTCAGTTTTAGCTCTTTACATTTAGGTCTTTAATCTGTTTGGAGTTAGATTTTGCATATGGTGTGAGGTAAGTGTCCGGTTGTTTCTGTAACATTTGTTGAAAAAAAGTATCCTTTCTCCATTGAATTACATTGGCACCTTTCTTATAAACCAATTGACCACAACAGTGTTGGTTTCTTTCTGAACTCTGTTCTGTTCCATCTGTCTTATGTGTTCTGTACCACACTGATTTGGCTACTGTATATTTGTGGTAACTTTTGAAATTAGGTAATGTTAAGTCCTCCAATTTGCTTTTGTTCAAAATTGTTTGGGCTATTCTATGTTTTTTCCATTTCCATATAAATTATGGAATGAGCTTGTTGGTATCTTCAAAACATTCTGCTGGGATTTTTTTGTGTGTGCGTGAGGAGATCAGCCCTGAGCTAACATCTGCCAATCCTCCTCTTTTTTCTGAGGAAGACTGGCCCTGGGCTAACATCCATGCCCATCTTCCTCCATTTTATATGGGACACTGCCACAGCATGGCTTGACAAGCAGTGCGTCGGTGCGTGCCGGGGATCCGAACCCGAGATCTGAACCGGTGAACCCCGGGGCTGCCGCAGCGGAGCACGCACGCTTAACCGCTTGCGCCACCTGTCCGGCCCCTCTGCTGGGATTTTTAATTGTCAGTTTAAGAATTTATTGGTCAGTTTGAGAATTGCCATCTTAACAATATTGAGTCTTCCATTCATGAATGTGGTATATCTCTCCAGTTAATTAGATCTGGCTTTTTAAAAAATTATTTTTATTTATTTTTTGGTGAGGAAGATCGGCCCTGAGCTAACGTTCGTTTGCCAGTCTTCCTCTTTTTGCTGAGGAGGATTAGCTCTGAGCTAACATCTGTGCCTATCTTCCTCTATTTTGTATATGGGATGCCGCCACAGCATGGCTTGATGAACAGTGCCTAAGTCTGCACCCGGGATCCGAATGCACAAACCCCGGGCCACCAAAGCGGAGCTGGTGAACTTAACCACTACGCCACCAGGCCGACCCCTGGCTCTTTTCTTAAACTCCAGTGACTTGAAATGATTGCTTTTGACAATTTTGTCCAATTTTATACTTGTTCTTTTGTGGTTAAAAATCACTAACCTTTTTACCCGTCCATAATGAGAAGTCCTTCTGCAATGTTTTTAACCTTATAGCAACCTTATGCTTCCAATCTTTGATTATTTCCTTCTGTCTTGAAATTAAAAAAAAAATTTCTTCAAAGGTACTAGCTAGGTATGATTGTGTTTTATTGTACTAGCTGTAGTACTTGTAGAAACTCAACTCTAGTGGAGGAGAAAAGTGATACCTTGTAACTTTTGTTTCATGTTTCTATTTGAAGGATCTCCAACTGAATTCCTTGAAGAGAAAATGGCCTACCAGGGGTATCAGAACTGGCCAGAAAATACAAACTTTTGCTTCGAACCCGAGCAAGTGGTGAATCCTATCCAGACTGGTAAGTGCAGGCTTAGCTGTGACTGCTGAATGTGAATTATGACATAAACATGAAAAAGCCACAACCACCACTCAGATAAAACATTTTAGCCTAAATATAGCTTGTAAAGCACAACCAAGGTATAAGTGTTTCCCGTGAACATTTAGTTGACCCTTTCTCCTCTCTGTTCTTTCTGAGGCACATGCCTGTCTAGTTTTCTCCCCTTCAAAACTTGTTTTGAGTAAATTAACTGAAATTCATATTCATTGAAGACTAAATGATCTGTAGTAACTTAGCATTTTAATTCTTCCAAAAGGAATTATTACAGTAATAATAGCACCATTTGTTGTGTGCCTGTTTTGTGCCAGGCACAGTGCTAGAGGCTTTATATACGTATTGTCTGTTTTTCTTATCTAACTCTGCCAAGTATATATTATCCTTATTTGACAGAAGAGAAAACGGACTCATACCCAGTTTCTACAAAATTCAAACTAATCTATAGAGACAAAAAGCATTTCTGTAGTTGACTAGAGCTGAAAGTGGTGGGAGGAATGGATTGCAGAAGGGCCACAAAGCAGTAATATTGATACCTCCATGTCAAAGTTAACTAGGTTGAGAGTTCAAGTTATTTATTTCCACTTATATGTGGCTTCTTTCCTTGCTCTCTAACTTACAAGGTGCTCATAGCTGCTTCCAAATGATCTAGTACTTGATGTTATGTACCATTTTTCAATTATTTGCTATCCTAGATATATGGTAATTTTTAAAGACAACTTTATTGAGAGATAATTCACATACCATACAATTCATCCCTTTAAAGTGTACAGTTC